AATCAGGAAGGAAACTGCTTGCTTCCTGGTTGTAAACTAACTGAAACTTTCCCCTTGGAGGGATTTCCAGCCCCAAATCTAGGAGCTGCCAATGGCCTCCTCTCTCTAAACCTTCTGGCCCTGAGGCCTGACTTTGGGGTGTGGCTATGCCACAATCCTCTATGAAGTCAGACATTTCTTTGTAAAGGAATGTAGAACAAAAATGCCCTGGCCAGGGCTACAAGCCAGTAAGTTGAGGATAAGGCTAGCTGGGTCATTCCACTCCTCCCTAAACTGACAATTGCAGGGCCCAGGAGAGGTGGGGATCCCCTTTGTCTCACCCCTCCAGTTTGAGGGGTGGTTCTGTTGCCCAGCTAGGAGGAGGGGTGAGACAGACTTCCTAGCTTCCTTTTTTGGGTTAATTGGTGTTCCCTCTAGTTATTCCCTATTTCCTTCCCCTCCCAGTTCCCATAGCAACTGGGCTGTAGCAGCCAGAACTTGATTGAGACCTGTGGTGGCCCTATTGAGGTGGGGAAAAGGGGGTACTGGTAGTTCAAGGTTTCCTAACTACCTCTTGTTCCCTATCCCTGCTCCCTCAAGGATCTAGGATAGTTCCACTAAGAGAACAGAGCATAATGGAGAAGGCATTCTGATGGGTTGATTTGAAGATTCTGAAATTCTAGAATAGGCCTGTTCTTGTCAGCTCTCCTCTCCTGTCCAGCCCCTGGTGTCTGGCCCCTAGCTGAGGATCCAGTTACCAAGAGAATTTTTCAGTAGGAAGAAGATTCCTGGAGTTGGAATTATGAAAGCGGGTTTCCAGTTCCTTTCTCTACCATTATTTTATGTGGTTATACTCAAGTTCTTCTCCCCTTGCTAGACCTCAGTTTCTCCACCTATATAATGGTAAAACTGACATTCTCATCCCTGGCTGCAGGTGAAAAGTGCTTGAGGTCATTTTCTAATTACAGATGTGTGGGGTTCTGTCTGTGGAGATTTTGACTTTGTTGGTCTGCATGTCATGTGAACCAGGCGGGTATATATATTTTTAAACTCCCTAGTGGTCCTGGTATATAACTAGAGTTAAGAATCTGAGAGCAAAAGGTCTCCAGGGTTCTCCCAACTTCCTTTATCTGGTTCTAAGGCACTTCCTCCTCTTCCTACAATGCTCACCTCAACAAGCCCTTATAGCCCTTTCCTATTCTTTCCGAGCAGTGCTGGTCTTATGTCCCAGCCCCAACCAGCCAGCCACCTGGCACAGGCATCAATCACACCGGTGAGACAGGACAAGGAAGATAGTACGATCTGATCTTGGGAACAGAGTTTTAGAGTCTAAGGTGGCCTTATTGCCAGGTGGTAGCATTGTAAGCCAGACTATCACCTGAAACAGTCCCCAGGCCACCTTAATGCATATGGGCCAGCAGTGTCTCAGCTGGCCAGCTGTGGGGCTTAGGAATTCGATTACCTCTGAGCTCACTGTGGCTCTTCTACTTCTATTCCCCTCATTAGCTTCTTGCCTGTTCCTGCCTCACCACCCACAGGCCTGGTGTCCTCCCCAGGCAATCTGCTCACCCACTTGTTGCCATGGTGACTCCAACTGGGGGTGTGAGGACTGAAGGGGGGTCGGCTAATTAAGGAGAAAGGCCATACTCCCACTGTCAGGCCATCCCTTCTCCCTCCCCCACCCTCTCAGATGAAGGGAGCGCCCAGACTCTGTAGTTTGTTACTGAGCTAATTGCAGTCACCCCTGAGGAGAGCAGGCCCGTCACTGGGAACTCCTTGTCCAGAGGCAGAAACACTGGACTGGAAGAGCCAAGGAGACTCCCCCAGGGTCCTTTGAGCCCCCACTCCACTGATGAGCGCAGAGCAGGGGGCTGATTACACAGTTTAGGGAGAGAGTGAGGTGGGCTCTTGGTCTAGGCTGCTGCAGTGGGATTGTGGCTGTGGACAGAAACACACCTTGGCACTTAGTGACCCAGAAGATGGAGGGATGGAGGGAGTTCTTGGGTGCTGAGGCCCTTGGCTCTCGAGATTTTAGTTTCTTTTCTGTCTCACTTCTGCTTCTCCTTTCCTCTGTCCAATTGTCAACCCTTTTTGTTTGTTTGTTTTTGTTTTGTTTTGTTTTTGAGACAGGGTTTCTCTGTGTCACAGCCCTAGCTGTCCTGGAACTAGTTCTTGTAGACCAGGCTGGTCTTAAACTCACAGAGATCCGCCTGCCTCTGCCTCCTGAGTGCTGATATTGAAAGCAGGCATCACCTCCTCTCGGCTGTCGAGCATTCTTTTAACATGTATCTTTCTAATTTATTCCTGTCCTTGTTTATCTTTCCCCATGTTCTCTTGCTTCTATCTTTTTAGTGACCCCTTCTCTTAACATCCCCCCTTGCCTCCATCTTACCCCTTCTGCCCCTGCCCGAGTTTACTTTCCTGCTCTTTTTTACTTTTTTCTCACATTCACCTCACTCTTACCCTGTGTACCCCATGCACACCCTCCATCTCTCTCTCTCCTTCTCTTCTTATTCCCAACTGTTATCTTACTTTGGTGATTGCTATCATCTCTCATCCTGTGCACCCCTACTTTTTATTATCCTCTTCCTTACGACCTTCTCTTTTACTACATATACCACTGCCACTTCCTCTTAGCCCTTAAGCGCCTTCCTTACTGCCCTGTTTTACCCTTCCAGCTCCTTCCCTTCTTCTTACCTTTGCCTGTTCATTGTCACTCTCTTTTTGAATCTACTATCCTCCTTTTGGATATATGTCTCATCTCAGGAGTTTGTATAAATAAAACCGAAGACACGTGCCTTAGACTTAGACATGTCTGTAAAGATATCCGGTGAAGCACTGTTCCCATGGTCAGCACTTAGAAGGAACTCTCAGATGTCCATGCCATTCATCTGAAGCCATTCTCTTCTCCTAGCCCATGTGTACTCATTCATTTCTATATCTTCGCTCAAACTGTCGCCTTGTTGGCACATCTTATCTAAAAATCCTTCTTTGCGTCCAATCTTGACGGCTTTTTTTTTACACAGGAGCTCAAAACTCACTATGTACAGAGAGATGACCTTGAACTGTTGATCCTTTTGCCTCCACCTCCCAAATGTGGCAATTACAAGCACACCACCATAGCTACTTTGTACAGTTCTGGGGACTGAATACGGGATGGATTACCGTACCACACATAAGGTACCAACACACCTACCTTATGGCTTGCTAGGGGATCGAGCCAAGAACTTTGTGCACTCTCTGCAAGGACTCTACTAATTAAACCCTATTCATAGCGCCCAATCTCAGCTGCTGTCTCCTCATTGAAATTTTTCCCAGTATACTATTAGCTACCAGGAACCATCGTTCAACTCTTGTTGTAGAATCAATCGTATGTCACAGATTGTTAGGTATGTCTGCTTATGAAACTGGAATTTTCATGGGGGAAGGGACCTGTCCTCATTAACTTATCCTGTTCATTCAGTCATGAGATTTTTAAAATGTATATTGCACTGAATGCACGGTGGTTAATAAAGATCTTATATGCAGCTCACAGTTTAGAGGAGCCAACAGAAACGAAAACAAGGATGCAGACCAAGTAGCATCTGTGGCGAATAAACAGTTAAGAATAATTAGGGCTGTGTCCTTTGTTGAGAGTACTGAAAGAGACACTCAGCAGAAGGGATATTTAACCTGAGCCCCGAAAGATGTAAAGGGTTCATGTATATCAACAGTCGGGTGAGGAACAGTCCAAGCCAGGCGATCATGTGTGCCAAGCCCAGAGGTAGAAAGAAGTAGGGCACGTTCAAGAAAAAGAAAACCTGCTTTGTGCAGCATGATGGGCTTGAAGAGAGATAGAAAATGAGGTTGGAGAGAGATGGGCAGAGGTCTGCAGGGCTTTGAAGTCTGTGCTTAGATATTAGGCTTTTAGTCTAAATGCATCTCAGGGCCTGAAGCACCGGAGTAACATAATTTGATAGCAGCTTGATTCCACTCTTATTCTCGCACAGTAGATTGGAACAAGCAAAAGTGGGGGTGGGAGGCATCTGTTATCCAGGTGAGAGATTATGGTGATCTCCAAAAAGGTGGCTTTGGCTTCCTCCAGGAGACATTGGACTAAAGCTGGGGACATTCTTTAAGAGGAGACACTGCTACTGGTGTCTAATGTGTGGAGGCCAGGAATGCTACTCAGTACCCTTCAATGCACAGCACAAGCCCTAAGACAAATGATTATCTGTTTCTAAGTGCCTCAAGTTTTTCTGAGGAAGCATAGACTTGAGGAGAGACAAGGTATAGAGCAGGGGAACTTTCTCACTAGAATCGGCCTGGGGTGAGAGTAGCCTAGATAAAGGAAAGAGAGTACAGATGGAGTGAAACCACAAAGAAAGATTCCAGGAGCAATGGAGCAGTGGCCATGATGTCTGCTCCAGACCAGGGCTGAAGCCAACAAGACAAAGCCTGGATTAAGTAGAGCTCAAAGACACATGTGGTGCCTGGAAAGGCAGATTACAGTTTTTATTAAAAATAACCCCTCACATTTGTATTGCCCTTTAGCGTTTATAAAACATTTTCATATGTGCCATACTATGTAGTCCAAAGTAGTCCAATGAGGTAGAGCATTAATTGTTCTCATCTCTTTCTTGAACTTAGAAGCTTACCACCATAAACAAAGGAAATGTTTATCAAGTTGAACGGAACTGAGATTTGCTTCATTACATATAGGGAACCTCAGAGGGATCAAAACGCCTCTTTGAACCAAGTGTAAAATGATAGAGCGGGATGAATTGATTAGGAACATTCCTTCTATTCTGACATAGGATTGATTTTGTGATTTTGGCCAACAATTCTAGATTTTCAATGGTGGTGAATTAGAGAACTCAAGAGCCCTGGCTTTGACATGGGTCATCTTAGGCTGGGATGTAGACACTTCTAACAAGGCCTCCTCCAAACTCTGGGATTAAGTTGGCTTAGCCGCATAGGGAGACACAAGAACCCCTCCCCCACATGACACAGGGGCTGACGCTGTTTTCTTTCCTCCACAGGCTGTCTACAAGGCCTGGCTGTGCTCAGAATACTTCAGTGTGACCCAACAGGAATGCCAGAGCTGGGTGCCTTGCAAGCAATACTGCTTGGAGGTGCAGACCCGGTGCCCCTTTATCCTCCCTGACAACGCAGAGATGGTGTACGGAGGCCTCCCTGGCTTTATCTGTACAGGTAAACTCAGGGCCCTGGGGAAGAAGGAGGAAGTGAAAGGGGTTAGGGGCATGGGGACAGAAAGGCATTAAGGGGAGTCAGGCTAGATGGAGGTCAGTGGCAAGAGGAGTGGGCAATCAGGTCCCCAATTTGAGATAGGGCCCAATGGAACATGACAAAAAGACCAGAGTGACCATATCTATTCAGAATATACTGAGCCACAAGTCACTCTGGAGAAACTTGCGTAGTCCCTGGAAGAAGAGATCTTAGAAGGGAAGATGTGAGGGCTGGAAGGGAGGGTTTCTTGAGTAGGGCTACCTGAGCCTCAACTTTGAACATCCCCTTTCAGATAAGGCAGAGCCATGATCCCCCAAAGCACGCCCCCCCCCAACACACACACCTTCCTTATCCCTTGGCAGGGTTGGTTGATACTTCACCAAAGCGGCCGGAAACCAAGTGCTGTGACGTGAAGTGGGTCTCCTGTGAGTCGGAGAAGAAGAAGTTCAAGGACTCTGAGCACCCCAAAACCCACCACCAGCAATTTCACCATTCATTTTTCCACCACTACCCCCAACAGTATCAACACTACCACCCCCGCCATGAACCTCCAAACCGTGCCAGCAACAAACCCTCCCTGCTGCCGGTCTCTGGGGGCTCCTGCCTCAGTCCCAGCAGGATCCGGCTCTGTTTCCTTGTTCTTATACTTGTCCATACCGTAGTGTCCTTCTCTAGCAGCCAGGGTGGCGGGGGACTGGGGCTGGAGACACTGCCTGCCCTAGAGGAAGAGTGACCTCCACCACATCCTGACATCAGCTCCAGCCCTGCCCCAGGTTGGGGGGGGAGGGAGCACCTCCCACGGGAAATGTAGGAACAGGTGTGGGTTGGGGGAGAAATGGGGGACCATATATTGTCCCCAGTCTACCCCTTCCCTAAAAGCAGCTCCAATAGAATGGCCAGAAGGCCCACAAGGAGCTGTAAAACTCACCCTGGAGAAAAAGGTAGGAGCAGCAGGTGCCCCCCCCCAAGCCCCACCCATAGGGCTTAGTGAAAAGTGGGGGGGGGAGTGAGAGCTGGAATTGCCCACTCCTGCCAAGAGCCCTGACCCCAGGGAAGGAGGCTGCCTACCCCAGCCTCATCTCTGCATGGAATGTTGGGGGGCACAGAGGGGAGTAGTTCTCCCCCCTCCACATTCCTTTCGTTGCCAAGATCCTTAATTCCCTCCTGCCCGTATCCCTACAGGTGACGGCAGACAGTGTGGTCGCCCTCCTGCCACTTCAGCGCACCCTGAGTGTGGGGCCGTCACAGTGAGAAGCATCAGATGGGGGCCTGAGGCCCACAGGGCCACAGCTAGGAAGATGCCCCGGTTAAGCTGCCCCCACCATCCTAGGCAATGAGGGATTGGAACCGGATATGGAATGGGTGGTAAAAGAGAAGGAAGATAGGGAATGGAAGAAGACAGGGGAGAGAGAGGTGGACAGAGAGCATGAGGAGATGGTTGAATACTGCCACCTATCTCTGGGAAGTTGGGCAATTAGCGTTGAGGCTCAAGAAAGGTCTTCTAAATCAGAATGAGGTGCACAAGGAGGCCCCTGGGGAAAGAGCCCAGGAGCCAAAACCCAGAAGGCTGAGGGCGCATGTTGGACTGCCGCTATCTGGAGGGACATATCTCACAGAAGGTGCACACACTCCCTAGGGCTGCCCTTGCCCTGGAAATCTTGGCCTTGTGGCCACAGACCTTTCATTTCCAATCTCCATAGGGAGGAGGGACTTGAGCCCAAGTGTGTCAGGCCTGGCCTGGGTCCCCACACTCCCCCATCCTGTCCTAGCCCAGGCCTCCATGAAGGAGAACCTGGTGGCGTTGCCCCAGAGCTCTCCAGAGATGAGCCTTCCCTAACCCAACCTGTGTCCATCCCCAGCCTACCAAAGAGTATTCATCCCTTCCCATCCCTAACCTTGTGGCCTATTGTCCCACTGAGGGACAGCTAGTCTCCTCCTCACCTTTTAGCGGGTCCCTTTCTCTAGCCACCCTTTGCCCTTGCTGGACAAAGTTCAGAGACTGGCAAGAGGCCTCAGCCTGGAGATAATACTTAATGTGCTGCTGCTGACCCTTGGCTGAGAACCTTCATTCAGTCTCGAAGGGTGAGTGAGATGAGGCTCGGAAGCCCTTGGCCTGCACTGATCTGAGGAAAAGGTAGGCCACATTGCCTGGGCGCCAAAAAGCCAATGGAAGCTGACAAGAACAGGAACCGGATTCTTTATGGGGCAGGCCAGGGGCTTTCAGAGATCAAAATGATGAGTAAAGGAGGACAGCCGTGGGGCAGCATTACAGAGAAACAGGCGAGGGCAAGGGAAGGAGGAGCTGCATCTTGCCAGCTTTAGGATGGATGGACGCCTCCCTAGTCAAAAAGGGTTTCTTCATCCGAGGGCGGTGGTTGGATCCCAATTCAGCTTCATGAGCCTATGGAGCCCTTCTCTCTGCCGGTTTACTCATATCTCACAGCCTGTCCTCTGCCTGGACCCTGTGTCCTCCATCTTTGGGCCCTCAGCACTTGGGGTCTGGCCACATGCCCCATCCCTAGAGTGCTCTTTTCAGCTGGGGAGGGTAAGAGGTGCTGGACCCTTCCCAGATGTGCTTATGTATTAGAGAAAGGTGGAGGCTTTAAGCTCCAGAGAGACCCAGGACTGCCTTCTAACTCCTGCATCCTCAGGAGGGGAAACAGGACTGGGCAGCAAAGGGGGACAACATGGTCCCAGGGAATGGACCCTTGGAGACTCCCATCCTCTCTTCCCCCTCACCAAGTGCCCTGGAGACCCCTGGCTCAGACCAGCCCAAGGCCTTGCCCAGTGGCAGGGGAAAGGGGCACCACACTCCACCTCAAAGTCATTTGACTGTCCCCATCTCCCTCCCCCCCCCGACCTTCCTCCACCTCCCTGGCTGCCCCTGCCCTCCGTCACAGGAAGCAGAGCTGGGTGGCTTTTCTTATGCCATTTTCTACACTGTGCTTCATTAGTAGGATCTTCTTGCACTAGTTCCTCTAAGTGAGTCTCCAAGCTGGTTCCCTAGTAGTCTCCCAGCCCTTCCTCCTTCCCCTGGCTATGGTTCAGTTGTCTCTGCCCTCTTCCCTGCCTCTGTGTTTCAGTGAGAGTGTCTGTGTATGTACTGCTTTCTGTTTTGTTGCGCTGTGGGGCAGTGAGCTCTCTGCTCTTGTTTATCCCCCTTAAAGAAATAAATGGTGTAAAAGTTGATAAGTCTCTCTTCATGAATTTATACCGTGGAATCGAGCTCGCTGCCCTAGAATGCAGTCTAAAGTCTGAGGCAGACAATGGGCCCGAGGAGGCCAACACTCAAGGTGGTTTAAATCTCAGAGGGTGGGGCAGATTCTGTAGTGTACCATTCTAGGCAAGAAGGTCACAAAACTCTCCCCGGCAGTGGTCAGCTGGTAACTGTAACAAAGCCGAGGAAAAACACAGGCTCAATCTGTCTGTAGTGGTAAGAACTTCAAGGCGTTCAGTCTGAGGACTTGTAGAGACAGGATACCCCATTTGGTCTGAGGATTTCATAGAGGTAAGAACTAGTGGCTAGCTGCTCTGCTTCTCTGATCTTTCAGCTTTCACCCCCTAATATCTGACTCTGGGTTTTTATTATTAAGACAGGAGCTCAAGGGTGGCCTTGAACTCACAGAGATCTGTCTGTCATCTCGTCTCACAAGTGCTGGGATTAAAAATATGCACCACCACCGCCTGGCCTCTGTGGTTAACTAGTGGCTAGCTTCACACTCTGATCTCCAGGCAAGCTTTCTTTGTTGCACCATAAGAAAAATATCACCATGGGTTGTTCCCTGAATGAGCCCTCCACCTTCTCACCTCCTGCCCTTTGCTCCCCTCTGTTTCTTCTTCCTGGAATATCTTCTCCCTTAGCTAGATTTCAAAATCCTGTTTACGGATTCTCTGCCATGAACACTTTCACATCCTTTCTTTTCTCTAGCAGGAAATAATCTTTCCCTGTACTTCAATAACACTTTGTACTTTAATCGTCGTGCATATCATATCCTGCCTGTGTTCAACTCATACACTGGTTCAAAATAGACTTTTGGAGGAATTACAATATGTCGACGGTGTTGGACTCTGGCAGTAGCAGGATAGATGCATTCTAGACACACAACATGATTTTTTTTTATTTAAACCATAATATGCTCACTATGCATTGACCACACACATGTCCAAGCTCTATTGGCCTTGGGCATAGGGCAGAGAGATGGACTCTCTATTAGCTACTGCCCACAAAAAGTCAAGGGGTAGGAAATATGCATAAAGGGAGTACAGGGTACAATGGCTGTGCCAAACGAGTAGCTCAACAAGCTGTATGCCACCCTTTGACTCCTGAAACAAGCCAGCATCACCCTGCAACTACCTCTCTCTGTGCACCCCTCTATCTCGACCCAGACTCTGACACCCTCCCTCTGGTCAGTGCAACTACAGCCTGCTTCCATCTCTTGGCACAGCATGAAGGGGTGGGGCAGGGAGGACTTCAGTGGTCTGAAGCCCTGGCAATGCGCCATGATCACCTGGAAAATGTTAGCACAGGCCCCATCAGCAAAAAGTCTGATGTAATTAGTGTGCGGTGAGGGGCCCAGCTTTAGCATTATTTAACAAACTCCACAAGTGGTGCAAGCCGGCCTGGTTGGCCCCAGAGAAGAGGTGTTTGCGTAGGTCCCTGAAGTCCCTGCTATCTCAGGAGAAGTGGTGCTAGGAAAAGTTGCAATGAAGCTGCTTGCAGTGGGGACGGATATTTCACAGCAGAGTCAGAGAAAAGGGAAAGCCTTGATTGGAACTTGAGCTTGGGAAATGAGGTTGAACATGTTGAAAAGCTCTTAATTTCTTACTTAAAATGTGTGCACAATTGAAAACGGGTACTAATTCTTAGAGTGAACAAAAAATGGCTCGAAATGTTGCAGGATAGTACAATTTTCCAGGGCGAAGTGCACAATGTTGACTTTTGCGTCACAGTCATAAGCAAGGTTTTGTTTTTCTAAAATTAGAGAGCTTTTCCTCAATTATCCAAAGGACCACTTCTATTCCTTTTGAGAGTTGAGTTGTTCTCTTTGAAACCTTGATCCTGTCATTACCCAGGTAGTTTGCCAATGGGAGCTAACGGGTCTATCATTGCCAAGCCTCCATTTAGCAAGGGTTTTGTGTGACATTAGAAATGGTCTCCATTATCACTTTCCTTGACATCACGAAAGCTTGAATCTTCTTTAAGACTTGCAACTTCACCCCGAGGTTCACTTGCACTGAGCTATACAGTGCAACACAACAATTAAAAACACAATTTTAGCATAATGGATGTAGATAAACAATAAGCAGGAAGAAGAGCTTATGTTGACTCAAAATAGTGACCATTCTATGCTATGATGACTTTGACTTTCTACCCAACAGCCATAGACTCCTTTTTCTCCTTTTGGGTTTGGTCTCTAAAACAAAGGGATGAGATTAAGCATTAAATAAAGAACAACTCAAAGTAGCATAAGTGAAAGCATTGGGTCCAGTTGCTGGCACAGAAGACACTGAGGGATAAAGAAAGAAAATGACAGAAGTCCATCACAGCAACAGGCTCAAAGTCTGTCCCGCTTGTGACACGCAATGTGGTGCGTCACACAGAAATCTATTCACTTAGTATTGAATGCCATGGGGCTAACTGCCTTGGAGCATAGGATGAGTGTCAACAGGTTACTCTGACATGGCATCTTCCCTCAAGAGCTCCGGGTATGGATAGGGAGAAAGCCTTGAAGAGAAGTCTCTCAAAATGCCTTTAAATTCTGAGAATGTCTTCTATGCCCATTGGTGTCACCTAGTTCAGGTCACTAGTGACTCTTAGTCCAGAGTCAAAC